CAACCTGACAGAGCTTGAGAGGATCTGCAGAGAAGAATGGGGGAAACTCCCCAAATACAGGTGTGCCAAGCTTGTAGCTTCATACCCAAGAAGACTCGAGGCTGTAATCGCTGCCAAAGGTGCTTCAATAAAGTATTTGAATACTTATGTAAATGTAATGTTTCAGTTTATTTTTAATAAATGTGCAAAAAAAACAAGAAAATGGTTTTTGCTTTGTCATTATGGGGTATTGTGTGTATATACTGATGAGGGGGGGAAACAATTAAGTCCATTTTATAATAACGCTGTAACATAACAAAATGTGGAAAAAGTCAAGGGGTCTGAATACTTTCTAAATGCACTGTACATATCTCCCTGGAATATTACATAATTTATGCAGCAGCATACAATACATTTTTGGACTCACCTTGTTGTGCTGTGCTCACTTGAACAGGAAGGTGACACGGCGGTCCTTCTTGTGGGCAAATCTTGTCATCAAACTTTGTCATCAAAGTCTGGCATTCTCTGGATTTATGGTGCTTTCAAGACAACTGGGAACTCTGACAAAAACAAGGTTGAATCATGACATCAGCGATCTTCAGGTCGGAGCTCTAGAAAGAGGCCTGAGTTCCCAACTTGGAATTCCGAGTTGGATGACCGTTAAAGACATATTTTCCCAGTCTGAGCTAATTTGTTTCAGAGTTCCCAGTTGTCTTGAACTCACTGAAGTCTGATATTTCCCAGTTCCGAGTTTCCAGTTGTTTTGAACGCGGCAGAAGTCATGCTGGATTGACAGCATGGCCAATGTATTCAGCCTTTTCTGGTCCATGGTGTTGCATGTGAATGTTTATCCTTTTAAACTTGGAAAAGAGACCCTTAAACCCAGACTTGGACCACACACCGTCTCCACTGAATAGAAGACTAGTGATTGCTTTGCAATGCTTGCAGTTAGCCACGATTCCTTCCAAACCGCTCATTGTTGAATTAGCGATTTCCAACTTGATGTGTAATTTTTATGTCCAATGGCCGATGAGCACTGATACGTTTTATCTATAATTTATCTTCATATGACAAGGATTGAAAAGGATTTGCCAGTAGATTGTCGACTTGATTCATGATGATGACTGCTTGTCTAGCTTGCTAGCTAAGATTTTGAATGTATGATGTTGACATGATCAGTCCAATGAAAGCTATGGTAGATATAACGGCATTTGACGTCATTCTATCTATGGCCAATGACTTGAGCCTTCTTGGATGGGCACTTCTAATGTAAATCTATGGCAGCACCTAAGAGGCTTGAATTTTCTAGCTCTCCCTGTAGATTTTGCGGTGACGTGGTGTCCCCATGAGTGACAGAACACTGAGCCAATCAAGGCGCAACTAGCAAACATTACCAACCCCTACGCTCTTTATGTTTCTGTCTTGCTAGTGAGAAAGAAAATTATGTTGTCTTAATTGGTACTTACTTAGAATCAAGTGGGTAAAACAGAATGAACCATCAAAATGAAAAGATAAAGATTTTTGTATCAATCAGACTTTATGGCACAGTAAACAGACAATTCACCATACTGAATTGAAAATACATTAATTGAGGGACTTACAGTATCTTCTGCAGTTTCCATGATGAGATCTTTATGATGATTCTAGTTCCCTGAACTGTTCAAGACAAAGTTTCTCTAATCTTATTTTTTTACCAGTTTTTGGGCCTGAGAGATTTAAAAATGTCCAGGATCTGAAAGGGACATAAGACCAGATGAACCCCATATTCATAACATTGTACATGGCCAGAAGTACTCTGAGGACGCACGATAGCCAGTCTTACAAGGGCATCAATTCATGAGAGCAGTGAGGAAAAACTGGGAAAATAAAAAAGTGTACAAATGATTGCTCTCATTTGCTAGCCCCACCTCTCCCTCACTCACAAACACACACACACACACACACACACACACACACACACACACACACACACACACACACACACACACACACACACACACACACACACACACACACACACAGCTCAAAAAGAACAGTGTCTCATGTTATGATCTTAAAATGGATTGACATTGGCACCTTAACAGAGCACTTTTGTGTAGAGTGACAGGATAGCAACGCCAGGCCATCAGTCAATATGTCTGTGTACCTCCTTATGCAAATAAATGAAGCACTAATTACCAGGTGTCGCCATGAAAACTTGTGCTGAGGGCAATCTTCATTGTATTTCCATACACTATGCTTCTCCTCTGCTTCACAATTAGATTCCCCCTGTCATTACGGTCTGAGGGGTGAGGACAGGGGCAGCGCTCCGTGCCTCAGTCAGTGTCTAATCACAGTCAATGGTATCTTAAAGGCAGTCAGCTAGCAGCACATTGATTGCAAACAATTTAACGGAGATTGGTCTTCTCAAACCTTCCGCCTCGTCAAGGACTCTCTTAGTATCACCAGCAGAGTGAAGCTTAAAGAAAGGACAGAAAAAAGCAAAGAGAATCACATTTCTAGAGAAACGTTACTTGTAGGCCAACATTAAACCTCGTTCACACATGGACATTCTCAGAATTCTGCTGACGGCCCGAAACAATCTCCTATATCCAATGTGTCTGAGGTGTGAGTGCAGTAATGGCATCTGTAATTTCACTCATCAAACCTACACATGTAGGCCTAGCTGTCTTGCTGTTACAGGGATCACCTGCTGTGTGACGAGCAGTGACTGCTCTCGCTGATTCAATATGGTGGCTTCATTGGGAGTATTGAGACACTGAATCTAATTCACCATTAGCAGGAATAAACACACCACTAGAGGTGGCGCGTGTTGCTGTCATATTGCTATCCTCTATCCCCCTCTATCCCTCCATAAAATACAGATTATTGGGTGTTGACTAAGACACAGGAACAGGGTCTTGGGGATAGCCTATGTTACATATTGTAGCGAACGGCAGGGCAGGGAAGCTGGTTGTGAAAGGCAAACGCTGGTGAGGTGGCTCATATTGCAAGGCTCGCTACAATATTAAATAAACCTGACAGATGTCTTTGTTATTGATTGATCAATTAGTATGTGTAAAATGATTTAAGAAAAGGCTGAGGGGAAGAAAGGGTACAGGGATGTACAGTGGGGTGGTATAGGACAAGTTCTTGGTGTGAACATTTGGCCCCCTAGAAAAACTCTTGGACTTACACTGTCTGGGACACACACACATTATCATGTATCATACATGTTATCATGCACACATGCACGGAGGCACGCACACATACACATACGCAAAATAACCACATAGCTGTTCTCTCTGTGCCAACTTTACTGCCACCCCCTGTGCCAGAAAATAGGGGAACACAAATTATACAGAGTGGACCACCGAGGGCCTAGGTTGGCATGGACTCAGCCTCTGGCAGTGGAGTGGAAGACATTATCACTTAGTGTGAGCTTTTAATCCTTTGGCCTTTAATTTGCCAAGTCCCCACAAGTTACTTTATCTCAGCAGGTTAATCTGGATGCACACTGATGAATGGAGAATATCCTCTTGTCAAAAGAACTGGAATAAAATTGAGGTCATACCACCCATTCTGCCAACACAAACATACTGAACTATTGTACAAAATAAAATGCCATTGTCACAGTGCTGTTGCAATGGTCTTTGATGCTCTTGAAAATACAACATGTTAAACATAATCAAACAAATTCATTCTCTACATTCTCTCTTTCACAAATTGTTCACTGCACTGTCACTCGATGTGAAGGCTGCTTAAGAAGTCTGTGTGTTGCGAGGAAATGTTGGCAAATGTGTACATTGTCTTCTTAGCTGTGAAGAGGGGGTGTGTTGGGTATGGGGGTGTGTGAGGCAACACTTCATGACCCAAACCCCACCTCCCACCTCACCTCCCCCACACACACAGATAATATAGTCTTTAGGCTGGGGGTCGCGAGGAGTATTGTTAAGAGGGGCCTTGCTTAAGGGAGGTCTGGGTAGACCCATTTATGCCCTTATCCCTCCCCTCTCCACCCCTCCCCATTCTCCTTTATCCTTCTATAAGCCCCGTTTATGCAAGCGTCCCAGGCCCCCGCATTCACAAATAGCAGCAGACACTACGGTCCCAACATGGTAAGTGCGACATTTACATAGATACCGAATACCAAATATTGAAACTGGATATAATTCGATTGGTACATTTTGTTTTTGCATCCAGGTGTACTGTATGTTTGCATATGTATGCTTATCTTTTCCCTGTTATTTATAAGTGAAGTAAGGAAATTCTGGGCCGGCTTGGGGCTGTTTGTTTTGGTGCATGTCTTTGTTATGTACCACTACATTGGATCAATCCAATATGGTTTCCTTCGCACGGCAGGATACACTCCGAGTAAGGATTTTCAGATTACTCCCGTGTAAAAAGCATGAGTGTTTTCATACTCCAAAATGTTTGTTGAGGTGATTTTTATACAGATTAGTCCCATGTACCAGGTAGCGCTGCAGTTGTGGCTGCCCCCCTAAAATAGCTGCCGCGACAGTATTTCCACCTCTCCCTTTTCTTGGTTCGCTCCAGAGAGGATTTGCTTGGTAAGAGCTCTATGTTACAGTGTTTAAGCGTAGAGCTGAAGCATTCCTCTCTTATTGATTTAATGTGATGTGAAAAAAGAAACAAATTGGATTATGATTCATTTAGAAACAGGTGCACTGAAAACAAATATCATACACGTTCTAAATGTGCTGTACAATTGGTACACATAACAGCTTATGAATTATGTTTTTGTTAAACTCTTTTTGTGAAGCTTTTTGTGCATTCTAAGCAGGGAATATAAAATGTTGTAAAACTTCTCATATGTGTTTTTATGAAAAGAAGGGAAATGGGTTAACTATGTGAGGCGTATTTATTTCATTTATGTTTCACTCTGTTTTCCCTCTCCATTTTCACTCCCTGTAGGTCTTTTGATCGCGGTGCATCCAGTTTTGATTCCCTTCGGGCGTCTTACTGATGCTTGGCTGCACTTGAATAAAGAACCCTTCAAGTAGCACTCATCACCCCCAGCCATGAGGTTCCTGTGGCCCCTGTTCTTCCCCCTGTGCCTCCCTGTCCTGCCCAGCACCGAGGCCAAACGCCAGAGCTCCGACGACAAGACGTCGCAGCTCCCACCACCACCGGCAGGCAAGATGCCCAAGAACTCTGTCCCCAGCTCAGGAGGGTTCATCACAAAGGTTGGCCATAACTGTACTTGGGATGCATCTGGGGAGGGCGTGGTGAATCTGCTGGTCAGCTGTAGCTCCGGGGAGCAGACCTACTGGTGCCGCTATGCTGGACAGCCAGACTTGTGCCAAGCCTACAGTGACAAGAAGGCACAGGTCAGGCACTGGAAACAACTGGTGGGCAAGCTGAAGAAGAGGAGCAATGCGTGCAAAGGGGAGAAGGTGCTGAAGACCCCCACCTGCAAGGCCCCCATGGAGTCCCACATGAAGCTTAAAGAGAAGGGCAAAGGCGGAGGAAAGAAGGATCCAGTGCCCCTGGTTCCTGAAATGGTAGAGAAGGAGGAGAAGAAAGAGGATAGGATTCCATTGTTGGAGGAGAGGGATTGGGATGGGGAGGTGAACGACATGGAGCCAGTGGAGAATTACTGTGCCGAGGGATGGCATTCTGTCTGTTCTTTCTTTGTAAGGTTTTTTGAAGGTTAAAGTCTTAAAGTTTTTGTAAGGTTAAAAAAGGGACAAACCTAATGAACTCTGTTGGGGAAAACTCCACCTCTGTATCCAGGCTTACTTCTTTGCTAGGTAAACAAAAATGGTTTATATATAGCGATATAGAGCCTAAATATAGGACATAGAAATGTCTTGGGTTGTGTATTTTATTGTGAAACTAATCTTATTTTCTACAGACAATATTTGCTATTGTTCATTTGTAGTAATAATAATAATAATATGCCATTTAGCAGACGCTTTTATCCAAAGCGACTTACAGTCATGCGTGCATAAATTTTTATGTATGGGTGGTCCCTAGACTTGTATCAGATTTATATTTTTGAACTTTAACACAACATACAAAATTATACCTGTGAATAAACATACCTTACTATATAAACATTTAACATTTGTTTGACTAGTTATTTTTTAGAAGCAGTTAATTAGAAGGACTATATGGATGATATGATTGCCTGTTATTTATATTGTCAAGTTCTATTCCAGTAGCTGGGGGAATACTATTATACTTGATTCAAATTCGTAATAGAATTGACAAGATCTTTGTGCTGTAGTGTGTACACTTGAGCATAACAAATTAATGGTAATGAGCATGAATAGGAGAATATTGAGAACATTTAAAGTATTTTCCCCATAGTTTATCCCTTGATATTGTTGCAATCACAGCTACATATTAGTTGCCAGTAAATAAAAAAATATCATTATCAAAGCGATGTCAACATATCACAGGAAATACAGTTCTAAAAAATTGCTATCCCTGATAATCACTTTTTTTTCATGTCTATGTAAGTAGTGATAGGGTCATGTCTGTGACACCTCATGCACACTTAGAATATACATGCAGAAAAGGGTTCATTGAAAATGTCACAAGATTAAGATGAGATTAGTGTAAATACTTAATGGCAAACAAGACTCACACAATATCGTGGAAACCTGTTGTGATCTGTTTGAGGTGACACTGACACTGGCTCTCCACATTTTCACAATTGATTGCATGCTTTCTGTGAAATAAAGCAGTCTTATGACTACAGTAATAAGTGGATGTTTATAAATAGTTTTAAAAGTACCATCATATTTATCTGTGGCTCTACCATCTCTTTCTCATCCATGGTTTGATTGAGATTCTCTTCATGAGACAACTCTGTGTGGTTATCAATTGAAATGTTGTCTGTCTGTTCTAGAGTTGCTATGTGTATGATCTGGTAACCAGTGGCCACAGACAACAAACAGCCCATGGTGAGTTGCACTGCCAATGCTAGCAGATGGCAGGGGGCACTATATATCAGTTACAAACAATTCAATCAAAGAGACTAATCTTTTTTTTTTGTGTTGGGATCATAGAATTCCAGCTAATCTGTTTAAGTGTCCTATTTTGTTCAGGTTAGCAACACAAACATGTGTGAGTCCATGTGTGGTCTCTGTGAAATGTATGTGATGATGACCAATCGGAAGGTGGGTTTGTGAATAGAAAGAGGATGGGCTTAGAGTCATGGTGTGAATTGTCCCACAAAGGCACTCCTCCCGCCTGAACCAGCATTTTCTTGCAGGGGGTTGATATCTATCTGTCTCTCATTAACAGACTGATTATACACCTCTGAAAGCAGTACATATCATGTTCATTTCCAAGTAGACTATTGTTTGGGTCAGCTACTCAATCCCAATCAACTCACAATAGAGAAAACAGTTTGTTCCTCAGATCTAATATATAATGATGTGCAAAAAGTTATGATGATATTCCTTCGATAGCACAGCCAAGCATGCCCCGAACCTCTCTAAGTCCTTCATTTACATCTGCAGTGCATATATCATTAGGACAGACAGACAAACACAAATACACACACACACACACACACACAGGAGAGTAATGCCAATACGCCCCTCTCAACCCAGGATCCTGTCTTTAGACTCCTCTCCAGGGGGGCTCTTCTCTCCACAGTCGCTCCTTTGTCCCTCATACATTAAATAGAGCAGTGATTACTTACATGCCTCTGCCCTGGCAGTAGGGCCTCCCCCAGAATAACTAAGGAAGAACCTGCATGCACTACTAGGGCCCTATTCTCACTATGAGATGGAGTCTGAGGAGCAGCGTGGCGATAAAGAGTTTTACTTTTCAATTCACATGACATCCTTGCCTTACCTTTCGTCGTGGATGGCAATGCAACAATCTTAGTCTGCAGCTCAAATTGACCGTAAATATCACAGTAGCCACTAGCAAGTAAGCACAAACTACTTAACAATCCGAGCAAATAATGCAACAATTCACAAGAATGTGTAGACTATTAAATTGTTTATTTTCTAGTCCGTACACATCAAATTAGCTGACAATACAGAGCTAACTCCTGCTAGCTAGCTAGCTAGCTAGCTAACAACATGCTTCATGTAGGGTGTTAGAGGGGTAAAAATAAACATTACTTTTATAACTGAACTGATACAGCAGTCTATTAGAAGCACAGTGCACTTTGTTTCATGCCTTTAGGCCTTACCATTGCGGAGATATTACAATTTGTGTGTATGAATTCTGTGTCAAACGGTCGTGGGAGATAATGCACAGGTAAATGGCGAAAACTTTTCCAAAAATGGAACCAAAATGACACAGGTGGACTCAGATGAACAGAAACTGAAATATCTCAAGATAGGAATGACCTATCAACATGACATTTTCAGGGGTTATACATTAATCTGAACATGTTCAAATGAAATAGGATTCATTCGGAAAGTATTCAGACCATTTGACTTTTTCCACATTTTGTTATGTTACAGCCTTATTCTAAAATAGATTATTTTTTTAAACATCCCCTCATTAATCTACACACAATACCCCATAATGACAAAGCTAAAACCGATTTGTGGAAATTTTAGCATATATATTAAATATAAAAAACTGAAATATTACATTCAGATAAGTATTCAGACCCTTTACTCAGTACTTTGTTGAAGCACCTTTGGCAGAGATTACAGCCTCAAGTCTTCTTGGGTATGACTCTACAAGGTGACCAAGAATCCGATGGTCACTCTGACAGAGCTCTAGAGTTCCTCTGTGGAGATGGGAGAACCTTCCAGAAGGACAACCATCTCTGCAGCGCTCCACCAATCAGGCCTTTATGGTAGAGACACATGACAGCCCGCTTGGAGTTTGCAAAAAGGCAGCTAAAGACTCTCAGACCATGAGAAACAAGATTCTTTGGTCTGATGAAACCAACATTGAACTCTTTAGCCTGAATGCCAAGCGTCACGTCTGGAGGAAACCTGACACCATCCCTACGGTGAAGCATGGTGGTGGCAGCATCATGCTGTGGGGATGTTTTTCAGCGGCAGGGACTGGGAGACTAGTCAGGATCGAGGGAAAGAAGAACGGTGTAAAGTACAGAGCGATCCTTCATGAAAACCTGCCCCAGAGCACTCAGGACCTCAGACTGGGGCGAAGGTTCACCTTCCAACAGGACAACGACCCTAAGCACACAGCCAAGACAACGCAGGAGTGGCTATGGGACGTCTCTAAATGTCCTTGAGTGGCCCAGTCAGAGCCAAGACTTGAACCCGATCGAACATCTCTGGAGAGACCTGAAAATAGCTGTGCAGCAACGCTCCCTATCCAACCTGACAGTGCTTGAGAGGATTTGCAGAGAGGAATTGGTTTCATCAGACCAGAGAATCTTGTTTCTCATGGTCTGAGAGTCTTTAGGTGCCTTTTGGCAAACTTCAATCGGGCTGTCATGTGCCTTTTACTGAGGAGTGGCTTCCGTCTGGCAACTCTACCATAAAGGTCTGATTGATGGAGTACTGCAGAGATGGTTGTCCTTCTGGAAGGTTCTCCCATCTCCACAGAGGAACTCTGGAGCTCTATCAGAGTGACCATCGGGTTCTTGGTCACCTCCCTGAACAAGGCCCTTCTCCTCCGATTGCTCAGTTTGGCCAGGAGGCCAGCTGTAGGAAGAGTCTTGGTGATTCCATACCTCTTCCATTTAAGAATGATGGAGGCCACTGTGCTCTTGGGGACCTTCAATGCTGCAGAAATGTTTTGGTCCCTTCCCCAGATCTGTGCCTTGACACAATCCTGTGTCGGAGCTTTACAGACAATTCCTTCGACCTCATGGCTTGGTTTTTGCTCTGACATGCACTGCCAACTGTGGGACCTTATATAGACAGGTGTGTACCGTTCCAAATCATGTCCAATCAATTGAATTTACCACAGGTGGACTCCAATCAAGTTGTAGAAACATCTCAAGGATGATCAATGGAAACAGGATGCACCTGATCTCAATTTCGAGTCTCATTGCAAAGGGTCTGAATACTTATGTAAATAAGGTATTTCTGTTCTTTATTGTAAATACATTTGCACAATTTTCTAAAAACCAGTTTTCGCTTTGTCAGTATGGGGTATTGCGTGAAGATTGATGAGGATGTTTTATTTATTTAATCCATTTTAGAATAAGGCTGTAACGTAAGAAAATGTGGAAAAAGTCAAGGGGTCTGAATACTTTCCGAAGGCACTGTGACTTCAGAAAGTATTCACACCCCTTTACTTTTTCCACGTTTTGTTGTAGTACAGCATGAATTTAAAATAGATTAAATAGAGATTTTGTGTCACTGGACTACACACATTACCCCATAATGTTTACAAATTAATAAGATGAAAGTCTGTACAGAATAAAACTATTCCAAAACATTCATCCTCTTTGCAATAAGTCACTAAAGCAAATAATTTGGCAAATAAATGAACTTTATGTCCTGAATACAAAGCGTTATGTTTGGGGCAAATCCAACACAACACATCACTGACTACCACTCTTCATATTTTCAGGCATGGTGGTGGCTGTATCATGTTATGGGTATGCTTGTCATCAGCAAGAACTAGGTAGTTTTATTGTACAAAAATAAATGGAATAGAGCCAAGCACAGGCAAAATCCTAGCGGAAAACTGAGTTCAGTCTGCTTTCCAACAGACACTGGGAGACAAATTCACCTTTCATCAGGACAAT